TCCCAGGGCTCCCAGAACCCCCAGAATTCCCATTTTTTCCCAGAAGGGATCCCAGAATTCCTGGAATTCTCATTTTTCCATGGAATTCCATGGAATTCTGACCGGTGTGGCTGCGCTTGTGCACCATCAGCACATTGGGGTTGATGCACAGCATCCCGCACTCCGGAATTCCCAAATTCCCGACCCCAGAATTCCCAAATTCCCCGTTCCCAGGGCTCCCAGAACCCCCAGAATTCCCATTTTTTCCCAGAATTCCCATTTTTTTCCCCAGAATTCCCGGAATTCCCGGGTTTTTTTGGGAATTCTGACCGGCGTGGCTGCGCTTGTGCACCATCAGCACGTTGGGGTTGATGCACAGCATCCCGCACTCCGGAATTCCCAAATTCCCGACCCCAGAATTCCCAAATTCCCCATTCCAGGGGCTCAGATCCCACTCCCAGACCCCAGAATTCCCATTTTTTCGCAGAATTCCCGGGTTTTTTTGGGAATTCTGACCGGCGTGGCTGCGCTTGTGCACCATCAGCACGTTGGGGCCGATGCACAGCATCCCGCAGATGTCACACTGTAGTTTCCCGTTGGGAAGGCGAATCCCGGGCGGATCCGGGAACGGCTCCGGGGGCGAATCCTCGGCGGCTCCGCGGCTCCGGGAATCCTCGTCCGACGACATCTCCACCTTGATGGAGCCGCCTGTGCCGGGAAACAACACCGGGAAAAAATCAATCACAGCGGGAAAAAATCACAGCGGGAAAAAAATTATACCGGGAAAAATCACACCGGGAAAAATGACACCGGGAATGTGACACCGGGAAAAAATGACACCGGGAAAAAATCACACCGGGAAAAAAGTGACACTGGGAAAATGACACCGGGAAAAATGACACCGGGAAAAAATCACACCGGGAAAAAAGTGACACCGGGAAAATTACACCGGGAAAAAATCACACCGGGAATGTAACACTGGGAAAATCGCGCCGGGAGTGACACCGGGAAAAAATGACACCGGGAAAAAATGACACCGGGAAAAAATGACACTGGGAAAAAAGTGACACCGGGAAAAAATGACACCGGGAAAAAATGACACCGGGAAAAAAGTGACACCGGGGAAATTACACCAGGAAAAGATCACACCGGGAATGTAACACTGGGAAAATGGCACCGGCAAAAAATGACACCAGGGAAAAATTACACCAGGAAAAAATGACACCGGGAATGTGACACCGGGAAAAAATCACACCAGGGAAATTACACCGGGAAAAAATCACACCAGGAATGTGACACTGGGAAAATGGCACCGGGAGTGACACCGGGAAAAAATCACACCGGGAAAAAATTACAGCG